TTAGCTCCTACGGATAACAATAATTTATCCCTTTGTTGAGATGATTTTTGCAAGTTTTCCTTTTTTTTATTATTATTGCTGTTTATTTAATAATAATTGACAATTGAATTCTAACATTACTTGTGGGAGAATTACCTGCAATTTAATCAAGGAAAATGTTCAATATTAAATTAATTGTGACAGTTCTAAAGAAAACTATCTTACTCTCCTTTTGCTGTTCCTTACGTTACAATCTTTTACAATAAGTTTCTTCATTTATTACTGAATTGTTGTGATGTAAAGTTAAAACCAGTTTTGATTGATTACTTTGTTTTTGCCTTACTGGGCTCTGGTTTCATGCATTTACCCGAACATTTCTTTGTTGTTGTTGTCATTTTCCCTGGTTACTGATATTATGATAGAAGCTACTCTTTCGCGATTGCTATCAAGTGAATTTGAAGAGTCTTTTACATAACATTTCATTAGATGAGTGGTACCGAGAACCTACTCTGGCATATGGATTACATAAAAAAGTCCGTGTAAGTTAAATGTATTTACAAAGGGATAAAGTTTTTGTTAAATGATGAGATTACATATGCGATGCCCTTCTACCACTCAAGTAGCTGAGTCACAAAGTGACTCAGCTCATATCACTTTCCTTTGAAAAGAGCACCAACGATTTTTGGATAGTTTGATACGTTGTTAATAAACTCGCCTCATTTGCTTTGTGTTCGGGTCTCTTCTTGTAAATTAGAAACAAATAAACATCAAATGATTCAAAGACTAGTCTTAGAAAAGAAGTGGCTCTTGCGGGTTTTTCTCCAGCGCTCATTATTTTTCATAGGATTCTTTAAACATTTTTGCAGGTTAAAACAAGGAAAATTTCACAATGAGAAACTGTTATTTTGATTTCAAATCTAACATTTCTGTGAAAAATTGTTGGTGATGTGCTTGAACGGTGTACAAAGTTGTTTACAACACCTTACAACTCACCTATACTACTCTAAGTCTTATTTTTAGCACATCGCGGCTTCGAATATTTTTCTTTTTGCGTTTCTGTTGTAGGAAAACATTAAACTTTGAAAAACTGGTCAACTTTTAAAAACTACATGCAGTTTTTAAACGTAATCGTACTCATGCATGTTGCACTCGCCCCAATGGCTTATGCAATTTGGTTAGCTTTTGAAAATTTACTCGTGCTGATTTCTCCCAAATTGCACTCGTAACGCCTGATTACCTATACAAATTGCTGCAAAAAATTGTTTTGACAAATTTCATCTTGAATGAATGGAGTGCCTGTGCGCTTAATTAAATAACGGTTACGCAGGGTAAACCATTGAAATTTGCTTACTGCGTGTCTGGAAATTTGTTTAACGTTCCAAAATACTGAGTCACAATTATTGCGTTAACTTTGTGTAATTTCATAGGACATCAGATTTTGACTGTCTTTACTTTTTTTTTTTCTACGCCAATATTTTAAGACAGCGCCTCCTTGTATTCCGTCAACCTACGCTAAAATAACCATGGTTAATAATTACAGCTAAAGTAGGATTTTAAAAATATATAATAAAAAAAGAAATTCACAATTAAAGGCTCGAAAACCATCAGCTTGAGAGTTTGCGTCATGCAGATTTTATTTGAAGATTACCTTGAAGATCCTTGAACTCTCTTCGATAACAGGGGCTCTCTGATGAGAATTATCATTATAATGAAATAAATACCTGTTTGCCACCAAAGTTAAAATCTGCTGATAATGTTCACGATAGAGAAAAAAAGGTTAAGTAGGTCACATGTTAAAAAACTTACACACATGTAGTTACGGAGCGATTTATGAGTCCTCTTACTGCGCCATGTATATTTGCTTCGCATTCAGTCTGTACCACAGTAGCGTGAATCACAACCAGGTGGGTGGTGAAGTTTGTAGATGAAGTAGGATCCACAGTTTTTTCACAAAATTCGTTGTTGAGTATTTGCAAACCGGGAGCTCAGATAGATGATTACTAAAGCAGACCTTCATTTGAACTTCACCATCTTGCACTGTAGGATGAACACCATTCAACCAGTCTGTACCACATCTGTATGCTGGCACACGTGTTGTTGGCATTTTGTTCCCGCAGCTCCCACAAAACGATACCATCCCTCAGGGAGTTTGTAGTCATACAATTCTGAACCGGGAGGTGTAAGGTAATCTATCTTTCTATTGGCTTCACTCAGGTTTTCATAATGATAGCAAGGATCAGCTGCAAAGTGAAATGAGAATTGCAAAAGGACTGATATTATTAAAATCAAGCCCAAAAGATATCTATTTCACCTCCCGCTCAAAGACGAGTGCCCTCAAATATTTCAGAATTATGTGTTGACTTAAGAAAAGCCCTCCAGAGATTTTGCGTCAAATCGTCGCCAAGTAGTTTCGTTTCTTAATGCACAACCTTTGTGCATTGAAACTTGAGCCCGAGTTAAGTCCTTAAAAATTGTTTTAACTATGGTTCCGTGACCAAAAATTGATGCATTGAGGACATTTATTTTTTTATGAGGTTTCTACTGTAGGAAAGACGCCCCCGTGGACGTAAATTACAACCGCCGGACCCGTGCCGCTTGAAGATAATTAAGTCCTGAATATTCCACTTTTCAAAGCAGAAAAGAAGCACGACCGGTCAAGCAATTTGAACTTTATTCTCTTAATATTTATTCCAAAACAATATTTTGTTGACTGAACCCAGTTATCAATATTTGAGAGAAAAGTTGTCTAGAATCATTTATCCAAAATGAACCTCATGATTCATGCTATCAATTACTTTGTCTAAATGTTGATATTCGTCTTAAAGACTAATCCAGCCCTCTACACATGGAGAATAAAGAAGTTGCTGCACGAGATTTGGCTAATTTTTTTGTGCTCTTTTTCATTTGATCTCCTTCAAGGCACCGCAAAACCTCAAAGCCGTCGAGGGAAAGCTATTGTATTAAAAAATGTCCCTATGGAAATATCGTGGTTTTTATGTTCTATTTGATAAATGTTGGCCATATTTTGAAAGTGTGAGATTTTTGAGAGCGATATTTCACCGCCGCAAATGACTGAACACAAACAAAAAAAAATACTGTGAAACAGCGCTTCTAACAAGGGACAAAAATAAAACGGTGCACCAAATAGGCCTTATAAATCTAAGCTGATCTCAAAGAAACTATGCAGTTTTAGTTCCTTTTCTAAATTCTGTGGCTGTGTAGTTTACTAATAACTTGTGCGATCCTAATAACTCCTAGTCCCAAATAATCTTTTATTTGAATTTAAATTTAGAGCATGTACATGTGGTCTGAATTCTGAAACCTCTCGGGCAAACTCTGGCGCTTTTCCACGGACGAGCTTATCGAGGCAGTCTTTATAATCTTGTTTTGTTTGAAAAAAAAATTTAATGAAAGAATTGTGAATATGTTTCGAAAAAAGCATCTGGGACAGGGTGTTTGTCTCCGTTGAGAGACTCGAAGTTTGAAGCGTGCTCATTTAGCGTCACTCTCAGGGTCGTGTTCACGGTTCGAGATGTTATCGGACATTAATTCATGCGATGCCCTTTACACATTCATTCAAGTGCGCTGATCAATTTTAAACAAATGGATAATTGTATGTTTGGCGAGTAACCGACTGTTTTCCGTTATTTTTGAGATCATTTTAGGAAAAGTTTTAAGTTATATCACGTTGACTTACTTTCCAACGATTAAGGTCCATCTATTTGCTAATTAGAACGATGAATTAACTTTTTGGTGGTTTGTACCAGGTTACCTAACAAATTCAATATGGGTGGTCAAAACTCGCTTATGTCTCTAGTATTCTGATTCCCTTGCTGAAAAAACACAAACACCTCAGTAAAAATGAATTTTTGGTAAGATATTTGTTTGCAAAGATGAATGACACCTTTTTACCTAAGAGAGAAAAAAGAAAAGTGAACCATTTACATACTTCCATCAGTATGTATTTCCCCCGTACTATTCTTGATACATTTCAGACATGCAACTTACAAGGACAATGTAGTTAAAAATCAAGAGCTCTTTTAAGTTTGTGATCATTTCTTTAGTTTTTTATAAGCCAAACGTTGATTCAGCAGTGAATAATAAATTGTTTGATACTTTTCTCAATCACTGTGAACTGGAATCAAGGTGGTGGCGCATGTAATTGTGCTTACCAATTCCTCACTAACATGAAATCCAGATGCATGACTTATTTTGTACTCCTTGTTTTTTACAGATGCTCTGTTAAAGTCGTGGAGACATGAGGAGTTGAGAGATTTATACAAGGTTACCTTGATATATATCGGTTGACAGCTTTTTGATTGATTGATCAAGTTAAAAATTGAGATTATTTTGACAGTGTGTGCTGGTCTTGTGGTGAAGTATGCAGGGTATTGGTCTCTAATAAAGTCAACCAAATCCAAGAAGTCACAAGTGGTGTGTACCGCTCCATGTGTACCTTAATACCTTGAGCTTAAGTACAAAAAAAAAATAATGGAATAAAATGTAGTATAATAGAGGAATTATTAAATATATATATATATATAGTCTTTAGTTCTTAAATGTACATGGGAGATTCAATAGTGGAAGTGTGAAAGTGTTCTTATGGAGCACAATTTGAAAACTGTACACCAATACATTGGGCCTATTTTTTTAAGTGACTCATTGTTTGGTACTCTGATTGCAGAGAACTTTAGGTATCTTACAAATATAGGTCTGCATGATGCAATCCCAATTATGTCTTTGATATTCACTTTTGAGACTTAATGTAAAACATTTCAATGTTGTAGTTGGTATGTTTTGGTTGCTGGATATGCACAGCCAACAGTGGTTTTCAAACCTCCTTAAAAAAGGAGGAAAAAAAACAATCAAAAAGAGAAAAAGGGAAGGAAAGAGCAAGAGCAAAAGAGAAGCACAAACATCAGTCTTAGAGTTAAGACCTCGCTATCTTTGCCTAGCTTAGAGTTTACCTGAGTTTATGTGTTTGGATGGAACATGAAGTTTGCTCATATCATTATATTTTACTTGACCAGGGTTACGTTCCAGGTATTTTTGGTGTATCACACGTAGCACTGCAATTCATGGCCTATGAGGAGCTGAAGAAAGGCTACAGTCAATATTTTGGAACACCAATCAACAAGAAGCTGGTGAATACTGTCTGCACGTGTCTGTATAGTTGATTGTATACGTGTTAAAGCTCACAAATTCAACTGAGTTAACAAACAAGAAACTCTTGGTCTTAAACCTTGACATACAAAACATGTGAAGTGCTTTTACTCTGATCATGTTAATAGCTTAGGGTGGATGACTGATGTGTTGTCATTACTGAAACGAAACTTTACTCTCAACTCCCCTCTCCACCCAGAAGGATTGATAAGAACCAACCTTTGTCCCCCCCCCTCCCCAAGATTGACTGACATCTAACTTCTCCTTACAATATCTAATATACAATACCTCTGAATCACACATGGAGGTCATGAGAATAGAGGAAATATTCAGCCACCGAAAAAGTTCTTGACTGTTTAAGAAATTCTCCTTGTCAGTATCTTTGGAAATGTACAGAGAACAGTATGGAGAATATGGATACTGATGATAGGGTGTAAAGGGTCATCACGAACACGTGTAATGGCCAGTGGCGAATGTAAAAAAAGAGAACATGAGAGAGGGAAGGGTGGGGAAGTTTTTGGCTTCTCATCTTGAGTAGTCATCCTCCATGACGAGCTTCAGCATTTTGAAGCTACAACTGACGCCCAAAATACAACCTCTATTACCTTTGTTGTACATGTGGCTAGTAGGAAGGTACTAATAGGATGACGTTTATTATTCTGTAACCATGGGTTATCTTGGGAATCACTCTGAAATGCTGAAAATACAGTAGTTATTATTATTTTTTTTAATATAAAGTGTTTTCCTCTCTAATTTATGTTTGGCTAACTTTCATTTTCTCCATAGAGTTCAACTGAGTACCTTGTAATGGCTTCACTGTCGAAAATTTTCGCCGCAACAGCGACATATCCGTATCAAGTGGTTAGAGCAGGACTTCAGGTTAGAATGGGAGATTCATTAGCAAATTGTTAACCTTTTGAAATCGATTTTGTTTTACTTTTGTATGCTATTATCTTGAAATAAACTTGTAGTTTAAGGTTATTTTTAGTTTTCAGGCCGGTAATCTCATCAGTTGGTTTACTGGACCCTAGGTTGATGTGGCCTGTGCTCGAGCCTCCAGCCTCAGCTAGGTCACTGTGCTGGTTCCTTGGGAAAAGATTCGTTAGCCCCACACATCCCCCCTCCCAGTGGTTCAAATGGGCACTAACAAAAGGCTAGGGGAACCCCACAATGTGGATAAATATCAATTCTCATGAAGGAGAGAAGCTTTCACCCTCTTTCACTCTTTTCATTCCTCCTAAGAATCAAGGATCCAAGATGGTCATGGGAACGCATGGCGTAAAGTTTTTGATTCTGTGCCTATAAAATTAGCTAAAACCAATTTTAATTTAATTTTAATTATATTTAAAAATATATCAGGAGCTGTCTCTAAGCAAGTCTGTTTTGTTAAATCGTTCAGTATTTACTGTTTCCTGCTGTCATTTATTGTTCATGAATTTTACTTTTCTAAAGAATCAGTACACGATGGTCGAATACAAAGGCGCGTTGGATGTGATTAGTAAGACTCTCAGGTAAGTTGGAACTTGATATGAGAACTTAAAGTTTTCGATACGTCACAGACTAGCTTTCCATCTCTAGTTTCAAACCCTCTACATTAAATAGAGGTACATGTTTTGCCCGTTTGAAACAAATTGACAAAGAACTGGACCAAAATTGGCGGAGAACTGAAACCAGCTTGTTTGAGTACTGGATCCAATTTTCGGATTCACTTACGGCTTAGTGGTAAAGTCCACATTTTCATGAAAGAAGGTATTCTTTTTCTGGCCTCTTCTTACGGCAGGTTCTTTTCAAAATCTTAGGCATGAAGGAGTAACAGGATTTTACAAAGGATTAATTCCCAGTGTCCTCAGGTAAGGAAGAATGTTAAAGATAAATTTGATGATGTAAGTAGATTTGCTAGTTAGTTTTATGTGTTAAACCGCAATGAATAATCTAGAATTGGCCAAGAGGGCTTAGTGGGCTCCCATCTTTAATTTTAGGTGGCGCTTCTTAAAGAAAAAGGGTCTTAAGAGATGGGGTGTACCCCATAAGGTGTTGAACTTATTTGCACATTCTAGTCTGTGAGAAACTGGGGAGAAGAGACTGGTGATAGATACATTAAGAGGCTACAAAATTCGGAGTAGGTGTCGTGTCATTGTTTTCGTCAGTTACTTGTTCGAATACTGTGAAATAATTAAGATACTTATCGTTATCACAAGTATTTGTGCGTTAGTGTAAGTTTTAGCGGTTTTCTGTTTTTTTTTTTCCAAATTTCGGAAATCTAGCAAAGAAGCGCTTTAGAAGAAACCCTGAAACCCTGTAATCTATGTAAGAACGTTCATTGTTGATTTTACTGTGTATTGTGTGTTTGATTGTTCTTGATTTTGGTTCTTTTCAGAGTAACGCCAGCACGTGCACTCACATTTGCGGTGTACGAAAACGTTATTCACTTCCTTCTGCCGAACAGATGACAACGACAGGATAAATAATACAATCCGGCAACTGGAAACGATGGGCAATATTACAGCATGTGGTTTTATTACCAGGCTTTATTCTGCAACAGTTCCGACGGATTCATTTACGGAAAAAAAAAAAAATGTTAACCGTGCGAAGTTAACTGCCCAGCGTGTTTACACATTTTATCGGTAACTTCATTTACCAGCGGAATGTGAATATGAATTTTTTCAGAGCAATTTTTGTACATCAATGCAAAAGGTATCCATTATTACTATCAGGTCCTAAGGGTAACAATGATTTCTCCCATTGTTCTTTTATAAAGAACCTTCCCCCTCCCCTTTGTCCCTTGTCCCATACGGGTATCAAATTTATGTACATCCCCTTAGCACTAACAAAGGCATGAACTACAAGAGATGCCTTTTTGCAATTTCCTTTTATTACTATTAACTTCATAATTCAAACATTACTTGTGAAAACTACTTGCGATTAATCAAGAAAAATGTTCAATATTAAGTTAAAAATTACCTTATTTTCCTTTTTCTGTTCCTTACGTTAAAATCTTTTTCAATAACTTTCTCCATTTGTTACTGAATCGTTGCGATGTAAAGTTAAACCCAGTTTTGATTTATGGCTCTGTTTTTACTTCACTGCAACATTTCCTTGTTGTTGTTGTTATTTTTCCCTGGTTATTGACATTAACTTCAGTAAAAAACGGTGAAAGCTACTCTTTCGCGATCGCTATTAGATGAGTGGTATCGAGAACCTACTCCGACCCATGGACTACACTGCCCTTAACGCTTACTCGTGTTCGTGTTATGAAACTCAGCTAAAAATAGTCCGTGTAAGTTAAATTTATTTACAAAGAGATACACAGTTTTTGTTAAATAATGAGATAATTTATTTACACCACTCAAGAAGCTGAGCCACAATTGACCCAGCTCATATCAATTTGCTTTGAAGAGTCTACCGACGATTTTTCTATATTTTGATACGTTGCCAAGAAACTCGCCTTGCTTTGCCTCATTTGCTTTGTGTTGAGGTCTCTTATTGTAAATTAGAGACAAATGAACATCAAATGATTGGAAGACTAGTCTTAGTTAGAATATTGAAATATCAGGCAGTAGCCTTTGGGGGTTACGGTGAGAGTGGGTTTCTTTTCTGCGCTTACTATTTTTCATAGGATTCTTTGAATATGTTTGCATTATATAAAAGGAAAACGTCGCCGAGAGAAACTGTGATTTTGATTTCAAATCTAACATTCCTGTAAAATATTTATGGTGATGTACTTAAACGGTGTAAAAAGTTGTTTACAACTTGTGTTTACCTATGCTGCTCTAAATACTTGTTTTAACACATTGCAGTTCTGAATACCTTTCTTTTAGCTTGTTAATGTTGTAGGCAAACATTAACCGTAGTAAAACAGGTCAACTTTTAAAATCTATAAGAGCATTTTAACAAATTTCGTCTTGACTGAATGAGGTGCCCGTGCTCTTAGTTAAATAAGCTTTATAGTTACACTTTGAAGCCATTGCGTCAAGATCTTTAAATTGGATTCAAAATAAGCGTGAGATGTAAGCGATCCATTAATTTCAAATGAATTCTGGTCGATTCGTACACATTTAACACACGGTTACGCAGGCTAAACCATTGAATTTTGCTTACTGTGTTTCTGGAAATTGGTTCAATGTTTCAAAATACTGAGTCACTATTAATACGTTAACTTTATGTAATTTAATTTTATGTAAAAGGACATCAGATTTTGACTGTCATCGCTTTTTTTTCTACGCCTATAACGTAAGATAGCGCCTGTTTGTATCCCACGGACATACGCTAAAATAATCATGGTTTATAATTACAGCAATTGAAGGATGAAAAAAAACGAAAAAAAAATACATTAATAAAAGGCTCGAAAACCTTAAGCTTGAGAGTTTGTGTCTTGCAGATTTTACTGGAAGATTACTTAAAGATACTTGGGGCAACTCTCTTTGATGACAGAGGATATCTGATGAGAATTATCATTCTAATGAGATAAGTACCTGTTTGCCACCAAAGTTAAAATCTGATGATAATGTTTACGATAGAGAAGAAACGTTGAATACCTTACATGTCAAAACTTTGTATACATGTATCTACGGAGCGATTTGTGTGTTCTCTTACTACGCGAAGTATATTTGCTTCACATTCAGTCTGCACTACAGTAGCGTAAGGGACAACTATGTGGCTTTATAAGTTTGTAGATAAAGTAGGATCCACAGTTTTTTACAAAAATATCTTTTGTGTATCGGCAACTAGTAGAGCGATCACTAAAGCAGACCTTCCTGAAAACTTCACCATCTTCCACTCTAGGATGAGCACCACTCAACCAACCTGGCCAGTCTGTACCACATCTGAATGCTGGCACACGTGTTGTGGGCATTTTTATTCCTGCAGCTCCCACAAAACGATACCATCCCTCGGTGAAGTAGTCACACAAAAATGGTCCATAGTGTGGTGTATAGTAACTGCTCTTTCTATTGGCATCACTCAGGTTTTGATAATTATAACATGGGTCGGCTAGTAAATGAAATGAACATTATAAAAAGGTTGTAGTAACAAAGATAACATTTTTTGTTGACATTTTTCAAGTCAATCAGTTCGACAACAACTAGATGGGACTAATGTTTTACAAGAACAACTATGCGTTAAGTAAAATTTAAAGAAGAATTTGGATTGGACAGTGATGATGCAAATAGGAACTAAAATGAAATGATGGCATTATACAGAGTTATGTGAACTCTTGCTTTAATCGCCCATCAAAGCCTGTAGTTGTTTGTACCTCAACTGGAAGCTACCAAACGCGTTTAAGACATTTTTGATCTTCAGTTCCCAAACAACGATACCAGCCCAGAGGTATTTGGTAGTAACACAATTAAGTCCCAGGAGTGTGCAATGACTCTCTGTCTATTAGCACCGTCCAATTATTTATAATCATAACGCGAATGAATGAGTTGCCAGTAATCGGATCCTTGCGTTTGCACAAAGATTTCCTAAGCAATTACTTTAATTTCTTTTTTTTTAAGAGGGCACAGTAACGATCTGATTGGTTCTTTACCCGGTCAGTATTTTCCTATCTCTGCCTACGGGTCACGGTAACGCTTTCGTGAGTCGCCGAGTACAGCTCAAATTTCGTTGCCATTTTTCATAAATATACCTCGTTTTTCCCGCTGGGCAGTATTTTTAAGCAAATACATCGGTCACTACCTCAAGCCGACTTATGAATCCTCTCTTTTCTCTCTCTCTCTCAAATCACTGACAAAAAAATATTGGTTTCAGAATGAATTTGTATAGGCAATAGTGTCATTACGTTGGCTGAAAAGCGGCCTAAAAACCGTCTGCAATTGATTTTAATCATTCACAAAAAGTACATAGAAAGTTAAAACGTGAGGTATTTGGTTACAGGTAAACTGAACAATGGAACTTTCATTCATTTAATGTCTGAATTTTCTCAAACAATTTGTTCGTAGTGAAAGAACGAGCGAAGTTTTAATTTCAGTTCGACAATAAATATACGCTCTCGGTGAGTCTTTCAAAGTCCGTTCAATTTGGACATTTGGACCATAAATTGCACAACAGAAACTGAAGGAATTTTTTGAGAAAAGGCCGCGTTAAATCCCCTTGTGTCTCGTTGGAGTGTGCCGTTCGAATTTCGTTTTTTGTGGAGGAAAGACCAGATTTACATGCGCCGTTGCAGCAAACAAACGAGCAAACTCTCACAACTTCAAAATAAAAAATTTGAATCTACTCACAATTACTTTCCTGGCCGTTTACTTAATGAACAGAGGTAAATCTTCGTACATGAATGAATCGTCGATGTGAGTGAATAATACTTTCTGTTATATCATTGATTGTTTTTGAAGAAAACATTGTCGCGACAGTCCTTGCCAAACTAGTTCCGTTGTTTTTCAAATCTTCTTGCGCTTTTTTTTTCTTACGCGCTCTCTAATTGACAGGTGTCAGATTGTGACAGATACTTGTAAAAATAATGTTTCAAACTTTGTTTGGAAGCCTTTTTAATCACCTTTATTTACGCAAGTGAAAATGTTTCAGAACAGCATCTCTCCTTAATTTGTATCACCTTTACTTTAACTACCATTTACTCGCTCAGAAATTGTTCAGTTTATGGAAGATCTTGCCGTATTTATAGCCCTAAATCATTGGGGTTCTTTCAGAATGTGTTTCGTTAAGTTAAAAAAAAAAATGTTATTTACCGGCTAAGGGTCGGTCCGTATGGTGAAAAACTGTGACCTCGGCCAGCATTTCAAGACCTCGGTCACAGTTTTTCACCATACGGACCGACCCTTAGCCGGCAAATAACATATATGTATCGCGATATTATTCAATGCCTAAGCACACCATTTCGATCTCCTGCTGCTTCAAGGTAGCGTCGTAGCGCTCTTTTGTATTACCAAGCCAAGAAAAAAGCTAGAAGCTATAAGTAGACTTGACACACGTAAACAAAACTGAAAAGGCTAATATGTCTAAATTTCGAGACCAGAACACGATGTCAATTTCACAATAAACCGTGCGCATGGTGAAAAGTCAATCGGCTCATTCTAATTCATATTTCATGGTTGTTCAAACAAAACTTACGCTTCCCTTGAATCAACATTACCCAATCCAATTATGATAAAGCAGCGGCAAAAAAAAAGCGGTGATCTCTCTTCGTAAATGTTTCTTTGGACCTCGAAACAGCCTTTCGCCATACATTTATTTCTAGAGAGTTGTAATTTTTACCCCGTTGCGTTCCCAGAAATCTTTGCGAAAACACAAGGATCCGATTGCTGGCAACTCATTCATCGGTTTGCATAAGTCAAATAAGGATCACAGCTGCTATTATTATTATTATTATTATTATTAGGGAATCTTTAAAGCTTTGGGATTCTTGAAGGTTTTTTTAGTTCCACGGAGAGTTTCATGTCTGCATCGTGTAAAAGTTCGTGTATGGTTGTTAAATCATTTAAAACATAATCAAAAA